GTCAAATTGTCCCTGTTTGCAGATGAAATGATCGTATGTATTGAAAAGCCTGAAGACTTTATAAAAAAAAAACTCTTAGAGTTGATAAACAATTTCAGTAAAGTTGCAGGATACAAAGTCAACACACAAAAATCAGTAGCATTTTTATACTTCAACAATGAACTAGCAGAAAAAGAAATCAAGAAAGCTAGCCCGTTTACAATAGTCAACAAAAAATAAAGTACCTAGAAATCAGTTTAACCTAGGGGATGAAAGATAATTCATTTACAATAGTCAACAAAAAAATAAAATACCTAGAAATCAGTTTAACCAAGGAGGTGAAAGATAATACAACAAGAACTACAAATCACTGTTGAAAGAAATTAAAGAGGACACAAAAAGATGGAAAGACATTTCATGCTCTTAGATTGGAAAAATTGACATTGTGAAAATATTCATACTACCCAAAGTGATCTACAGATTCAGTGCAATCCCCATCAAAATACAATGGCATTCCTTACAGAAATAGAAAAAAAAACCCCTAACATTCATATGGAACAATGAAAGACCCCAAATAGCCAAAATAATCATGAGCAAAAATAAATAAATAAATAAAGCCAGAGGCTTAACACTGCCTGACTTCAAATTATACTATGCAGCTATAGTAAACAAAACAGCATGGTATTGGCATAAAAACAGACATTTGGACTAATGGAACAGAATAGGGAACACAGAAATCAACCCACATACTTACAGCCAACTGATCTTTGACAAAGGCACCAAGAACATATATTGGGGAAAAGACTGCCTCTTCAATAAATGGTGCTGGGAAAACTAGACATCCATATGTAGAAGAATGAAACTAGACACATACCCATACCCCTCACCATATACCAAAATCAACTCAAAATGGATTAAAGACTTAAATATAAGACCTGAAACTATAAAATTTCTAAAAGAGAACATAGGGGAAACACGTCAGGAAGTAGGACTGGGCAGACTTTATGAATATGACCCCCAAAGTACAGGCAACAAAAGGAAAAATAAACAAATGGGATTGTATCAAACTAAAAACTTTCTGCACAGCAAAAGAAACACTTAACAGAATGAAAAGACAACCTACAGAGTAGGAGAAAATGTTTGCAAACTATGCATCTGACAAAGGATTAATATCCAAAATATACAAGGAACTCAAACAACTTAACAGTAAATGAACAAATAATCAAATTAAAAAATGGACAAAGGAGCTGGATAGGCATTTCTCAAAGGAAGATATACAAATGGCCAATAGACACATAAAAAACTGCTCAACATCACTCAGCATCAGGGAAATGCAAATCAAAACCACACTGAGATCTCATCTTACCCCAGTTAGACTGGTTATTATCAAAAAGACAGAAAATAACAAAAGTTGGTGATGACTTAGAGATGCAGAACCCTCCTATACTGTTGGTGGGACTGTAAATTAGTGCAGCCCTTATAGAAAACGGTATGGAGGTTCCTCAAACAACTACAGATAGAACTTCCATATGATCCAGCAACTCCACTGCTGGGTATATACTCAGAGGAATGAAAACCATCATGTTGAAGGAATACCTGCACTCCCATGTTTACTGCAGCTCTATTTACAATAGCCAAGAGTTAGAACCAATTTAAATGTCCATTGTCAGACAATTGGATAAGGAAAATGTGGTATATATGCACCATGGAATACTCTTCTGCCATAAAAAGGAATGAAATACTGCCATTTGCAGCAACATGGATGAACTTAGAGAAAATTATGTTAAGTGAAATAGTTCAGGCATAGAGAGAGAAATACTGCATATTCTCATTCATAAGTTGGAACTGAAGAAAGAAAGAAAGAAAGAAAAATCACAATGATATGTTGAACTTGCAAAAGGAGAGAACAGAACTGAGGTTACCGGAGGTGGGAAAGGGGGAGGTGGAGGGGAGGTAAGGGAAGAATTGGTAAAGGGCCACAGAAAATGATTACATTGTATAATATTGAGTATACTGATTATCCTGATTTGAGCATCACATATTGCACATAGGTATTGATATTCAACTCTGCACCCAAAGATATGTACAATCAACTGTTTCAATAAAGTAAAATAAAGTGCCAAACATAGTGCTGGGTCTACAGAAGAGTCAATAAATGTGAGGTGCTTATGTCTAGGGGAGGAGAGTATCAGACAAGGTATTTGGCTGTGAGCATCAGACATCATATGGGACTACCTAAGCAGAAAAGGAATCTTCTGGAAAGATATCAGGAAGGTTATAAATTGGAGCTTGAAATATGAAGTTTGAAAAAGTAGGCACAGAAAACTCTCAGGAACCAAAAGAGGACAGTAGCAGGAATCATCAGCTGGAATGCCTTTGTTACTGCTGGAAACAGCAATCACCATTAGAGAAAGAACTGCTGTGTCCTGCCATGGATGCTGGTCTCAGAGCCCACTAACAGATGGCCCCATTGCTAGATCCTATGGGGAGGCCAGTTTTACAGGCCCTTTGTTTTGCATTGTGGCTCAAGGTTAAAAGTCCCTCTGTGGGTATCCAGTTGGCAAAGCCCAAGTTGTGTGCCCACGCCCTGGCTACCAGGGGGAGGAGGAAAGACTATTATCTCCTGTGACTTCCATGGCAGGAGGAAGGGTCCTCACCCAGGGGGAAATTCTCCCAAACTAGAAAGGAGTTTGGATGCTGGAAGTCGTTAACTGACCAATGGCTGCTACAGGGAGAGAGGAATGGGGTAGAAATATCGATGGATAAGGCAAGCGGGCAGCTGCAACAATGGAACCGAGTGCCCAGGTATTCCTGAGAGTGGGTGAGCATCTTAGATTCCCTGAGAAAAGTTGAAGCAGAAGGACTATTTCCAAAGGTGAGGGCAGGGTGTAGGAGAGTCACAAAGGCTGGCACTGTTCCCCTAGTCTAGCAGCAGCTGGGGTGCAGTGAACGTCTGTTGGCCAGAAGGGGCAATTGGGGAGAGCAGTGATCTGAAAGAGAGAGTTGTATGGGGGGCGTCAATCAACAGTCGCTGTGACTCTCTTATGAGGGAGACCGTCAGCCCACAGCGATGCTGTAGACATGGAGCTGGAAAATAAGTACCCTGACTCCCCTTACCCTCGGACTCCTGCCTTCCGTGTTCTGTGGATACTTTCCATCTTGATACCCAACTGGAAGCCAGAGGGCATTGATATAATTCATGCCGTGTGACCTCAAAGGTACAGGGCAGGGAGGAGAGAGAACAGCAGATGGGGGAGGAAGCCAGGGAAGACCAAACACCTTGGAAATTAATTCCGATGGAGACATTTTGACTGTCTCATGAAAGCAGGGTGGGGCCTGGACCTTAAGAGGAGAGTGGAATTCTAAGATACCTTTCAAGATGGGAGAGGTTGCCTGAACAAAGCCACCCAGTCAGAGGCTGGAGGTCATGCTTGAGAAATGGTGAGGTCACACTTGAGACCAGAGCACTTTCAAACTGACTGTGAAGGCTTTTAATGCCATAGCCTCAGGCCCTTCTGCCTACCTGGTCCCCACTGGGAGCATCTACAACCTTCCCAAGGTGGTGATTAAGGGCTTTTTTTTGATGTGGCTTCTTTGCCAGTCAGGAATGGATCCTTGTGTGGCTTCTGGGGAATACCTTAACAGCTTGTTTTGGAGAGAGGGGTAGGGTTTGGGCTTAGAGACTCCCAAGTCAGCAGCCAGCAGAGTTAAGCCACCCACTGAAGGCTTGGTTGTAACAGTTGTTGTTTGTTTGGGTTTATGCAGCCAGGAGAGTGTTGCTATGGCTGGATTGCAGGCAACAGGTCTTATGATCTGGAACAGCAAATTGTGTATATAACATGACGGCATTTATTAAAGCAAGATAAACTCAGCAGCAAAGGATTCGGCTGGAGCCATAAATTCCTCTGATCTTGCTTCTGAGCCATCACATTCCATTTGAATGAGGCCTGTCAGCCCAAAGGCTTTCTTTAAATAAGTCAATTTGCTGAAAATCCCTAAGAAAAAGAAGTGGGAATTGCCTCCCCTTTGTTTTAAAAAGAGAATGCAATGCCATGCCTGCGCTGACTCAGTGTATTTGCTGAGGACTAACAGGCCTGCTGGGCTGGGCACTGAGGTCCTCATTACTAGATGCCTCAGGCTGAGGCTGGGGAAACTGGGCTCTCTTCCTTTTAGGGAGCTTTGGAGTTGGGAGGAATGAGATATTTCTAACAGATATTCTTTCTAGCTCTAAGAATTCAGAATTGCAGGAGCCTGGTGAGGGATCAGTTGAACTTGCCCACATCCCCCATTTGTCAACCTGCACTCTCTCACCAGGGCACACTATTCCTCCGGGAAGGAGAGATTTTCCCCAGGGCCCTGGGAGAGAGCAGGAACATTGTAGCCAGAAGTCCTGGGTTTAAATCCAAGTTCTATTATTTATTGGGTAAGTAGCCACATCCAAGTCATTGTATTCCTGTGAGCCCCAGTGTACCCCGTATGAAGTGGTGGTAGTGATAGCTGACATTTATTAGCACTGAATATATGTCAGGCACCATGCTAAGGGACATGATTTATTCTTCACAGACATGCTATGAAGTAAGAAGTGTGAGTACCCTCACTTTACAGATGAGGAAATAGAGGCACAGAGAGGTTAGGGAACTTGGGAATGGTGAAGTCAAGATCTGAACTCAGGCAGTCTGCTCTGGAGATTTTAACCCTGTCTTGTTAACAATCCTCTCAGCTATACAATAGAATTTCCAGGAGGTGACAGTAGAAAATGGGTATAAAAGCATTTTTTAAAACCGTAAACTATTAGTGTATTGAAAATGCTGAGCAAGAAGCTGAATCTTAAGTTGTAAACTTTCTGACCTTGTTCAACCTTGTTCAAAAAAGTGTTTTTCCTCCTCTCTATTTCATCTTCCCCTTCCACTCGAGCACATCCCCTCTCTTTACCTCTCCTTTCCAGCATTCTTCCTCTGTTCAAATACGTTGGCTTTGGTGGAATTTGGACTCAATGATGAAAAGCAAAATAACAGCCAAACTCAAAAGTACTTGTGCTTTTATTAAAAAAAAAAATACAATCAGGTACTGTCCAGATGTGTTTTGGAAAGGAAGATCTCTTTAAAAATCTTTAGTTTTCATCATCAATTATTATTATTATATTAATAATATTAATCATATCCTTAAAACTGAAACAGTATTGCTTTTCTGGTTTCTGTTGTATGAAATGTAAAAAATAAAAAGGGACGGCTTCCAATGACACATTTAATCTTTACGAACAAAAATAATGATAATTAATTATACAGCTTTGTGTAAAATATGGCAGGTTCTAAAACAAACTACCTCTGTACAGCCTACCCCCTCTCCCATTCCCAGAGCCACTCAAGAGAAGAGAAAACCACTGTGACGCTGTCACTGGAAGATTTTTGCTGACTCACTCAACGAACAGAAACCTGCTGGAGACTGATGTCTTTGGCGCGAAGGACGTAATGACAGAGTAGATGAGGCCCTTGTGTTGCTGCTGGCCCCAGTAAGCCATGGTCAACCTTGACACCTGCCAAATGCCCAGGTGTGCACTGATGGTTAGGCTGGTTGCACTGATCCTTTGGTAAAATCCTTTCCTTTCTCTGGGCCTTACTCCTTTTTCACCCAGTTGTCCCTGGAGTTTATGCCCGTTTACGCCTGCCTTCGAGATTTCGGAAGTTGCTGGGTCTCAGCTTCATCTCAGCGAACTGGATCGAATGTTCATGGCCCTTCCAGTGGAACCAGTTAACGCCCTGTAAGAAAGAGAAGGCTCCAGGTTGGTTTCCATTAGGCGAGGTGTTCACTCTCATTACTATCTGCTTGTTCCAACAAAACAAGTTCTGTTTTCAACTTGACCTTTTGGTACATCACAGCTGTCTCTTGCCTATTTCTCTGTGGTGAAAATTTTCAAGGGCGCTGGCTGAGTATGAACCAATTTTTCACCTTAGTCAGAAGCCACCTGAATTTGCACTGAGATTTGGCCTGCTGTCTTGAAACAAAATGGTGGCTGATGAACTTGCCATCCTTAGGCATAGATTCTGAAGGAATTCAGGTTGTGATTGGACGCTACAGGACTGAGCAGCTCTAGGCAGGGTGTGTGTTTATAATTTATCGACTTTTTGTGGAGTATTTTAATAGGGGTTTGGTATAGAACAGTAGAAATAACAGAGGTGGAACACAAGTTTTGCGACCTGACATACAAGGTTAAACATGAGTGCTCTCGCTTGAGAAATAAATGGTCTTGAACAAGTTAGCAAATCCTTCTGGGCCTCAGTTTCACTACCTTTTTTTTTCTTTCTTAAGATCTGATAATGCCAACCTTGAAAGATGCTCTAAAGATTACATGAGTTTGTAAAGAAGCTATCACAAGGCTGTGCACATCATAGGTGCATGGTAAATACTACTTCCCCAATCTCAAGTTGCGAGAAATATCTTTTTTTTTTTTTTTTCCTTTTTTCGTGTCCAGCAATGGATCGCAACCCTCAGTGTCGCGCCCGTAC